CGGGGTGGTAGTGGTGGTGGTGCGAGGTGGGAGGGGCGTGTCAGGAGCTGTGTGCTGGGCCTCACACACACAAAGCTGGCTGGGTGTACCCGCAGCTTCCGCCTGTGCTTCCCCTGGTGTCCGGGCGGGCTGTGTGTGTTGCTCTACCGCCACGGCTACGAGGAGGAGGAAGAAGAGGAGGAGGAGGGGTGGGGGGTAGAGAGGAGGAGATGATGAAGAAGAGCAAGCTGGTGTGTGCGGCGACCTCGGTTTTGGTTGACTGGGAGCAAGCGGCGGCGCCCCTACTTGGTATTTCCCAGTGAGTCAGCTGGGCCCACCACCACTACTACCGCGCCCCTGCTGCTGTTGCTGCTGCTGCCGCTGCTGCTGCCAGACCGCGCCTGCCCGCCCGCCCGTACCACCACCAGCCTCACCCCACCACCCCGCGCTGGTCACTGCCGCCGCCGCGAGACCTCCACTCTGGCACTCTACTTTAAACATCTTTCGCCGGGGAGGAGCCAGACCACCACTCCCCGCCCTCCCCCCCCATCCCCGAACTCTTCCTCCCTCCTTTTCCCTCAACCCTCCCCAACCTTCCTCCCACCCCCTCCCTCCCTCCCCCGCACCCAGCCAGAAACTGATGCCCAACTTCTGGAAGCTCAGACTGCCACAACTGGTACTGTTTTTCCCCCCCTCTCCCACAGTCCTCTCAATATGTCTTTGTTCGAGAGCTATTTTCATTTTCTAGCCACACACACACACACACACACACACACACACACACACAGTCTGCTTCTTGTCTAGTCTGCTCTCTCTCTCTCTCTCTCTCTCTCTCTCTCTCTCTCTCTCTCTCTCTCTCTCTCTCGGGTGACGTGTATCAACTAAGTGGCTCACTCATCCTACGTGAGGTTGGATGTCTACCCAACAGGGCACGTAACTCATACCACCCTCCACCTACCACACTCCCTCCACACTCCCTCCACCTACCACACCCTCTCCACCTACACAGTCCCTCCACCTACCACTCCACCTCCACCTACCACCACTCCCTCCACCTACCACAGTCCCTCCACCTACCACCTACCACAGTCCCTCCACCTACCACAGTCCTCCACCTACCACACTCCCTCCACCTACCACACTCCCTCCTCCCCCACACCACACTCCCTCCACCTACCACCTCCCTCCACCTACTGCACCCCTCCCCTACCACCTCCACCACCAGCCCCTCCACCTACCACAGTCCCTCCACCTACCACAGTCCCTCCACCTACCACAGTCTCTCCACCTCACCTACCAGTCCTCCTGCCACACCCCTACCACAGTCCCTCCACCTACCACACTCCCTCCCACCTACCACCTCCCTCCACCTACCACAGTCCCTCCACCTACCACAGTCCCTCCACCTACCACAGTCTCCTCCACCTACCACAGTCCCTCCACCTACCTCTCTCTCCACCTACCACAGTCCCTCCACCTACCACAGTCCCTCCACCTACCACAGTCCCTCCACCTACCACAGTCTCTCCACCTACCACAGTCCCCTCCACCTACCACACTCCCTCCACCTACCACCACTCCCTCCACCTACCACAGTCCCTCCACCTACCACAGTCCCTCCACCCACCACACTCCTCCACTACCCACACTCCACCCACTCCCACCTACCTCCACCTCCCTCCACCTACCGCACTCCCTCCACCTACCACACTCTCCAACTCCTCCACCACCCACACCCCTCCACCTACCACAGTCCCTCCACCTACCACAGTCCCTCCACCTACCACAGTCCCTCCACCTACCACAGTCTCTCCACCTACCTACCACCTCCCTCCCACCTACCACACTCCCTCCACCTACCACACTCCCTCCACCTACCACAGTCCCTCCACCTACCACACTCCCTCCACCTACCACCTCCCTCCACCTACCACAGTCCCTCCACCCACACAGTCCCTCCACCTACCACAGTCTCTCCACCTACACAGTCCCTCCACCACCACAGTCCCTCTCCACCTCCACCTACCAACAGTCCCTCCACCTACCACACTCCCTCCACCTACCACAGTCCCTCCACCTACCACAGTCCCTCCACCTACCACAGTCTCTCCACCTACCACACTCACTCCACCTACCACACTCCCTCCACCTACCACACTCCCTCCACCTACCACAGTTACCACATTCCCTCTTGCCACAGGTCGCAACACACACTTGGCTGCCCACAATGGTCACTACTAGAGTAAAGGAGGACCGGAAGGACCTGACCTGACCTGACCTGACCTGACCTGACCTGACCTAACCCAACCTGTCTTAAGTGTTAAATCAGGTACAGTAGACTGTTCAGGTGTTTAGGGGATAGTGTGTCGTCAGTCGCGTTTAATTATGTTACCTGTTGAGTTTTGTACTTAGACGCGGAAGGAGGAGGAGGAGGTAGAGGAGGAGGAGGAGGAGGAAGAGGAGGAGAAGGATAAAGAAAGATGGAAACATAGAAAGCACATAAATAAATGATGGAAGAAATAAAGTAAACAAGTGAAGGATAATAATTATACGTAAATAAATAAAGAAAGAAGAGATTAAAACAGACAAAGAAACTCACTAAGAACTGGACTGGTCTCACTTGACACACACACACACACACACACACACACACACACACACACACACACACACACACACACACACACCTTGGTATGTGGACTAGCGAGGGGCGTCTTGTCTTAATATGTATATAAAAACTACTACTACCATCACTACTACTACTACTATTACTACTACCACTACTACTACATTCTTATGCTTCTTTCGTTTTTCTTTTATTTTCATTTTCATTCTTCCTTCATTTATTAGTCATTTTATCTTCTTTCTTCATTTCCTTATTCCTTTCTTCTGTAATGTAGTTTATGATTATTTATTGGTTATTCTTATACACAGCATTATTAATTTTCTCTCTCTCTCTCTCTCTCTCTCTCTCTCTCTCTCTCTCTCTCTCCTACTCCTCCTCCTTCAGCTACTTTCACTCCTGTACTGACTGATTGACCGAGCTACTGACTGACTGAACTACTGACTGACTGAGCTACTGACTGACTGAGCTACTGACTGAGCTACTGTCTGATTGAGTTACTGACTGACTGACTGAACTACTGATTGACTGAGCTACTGACTGACTGAGCTACTGACTGACTGACTGAGCTGCTGACACTTCTCATGGCCTCTTGTTACCAATATAGACACGAGAGAACGAGGTCAGTTTTCATATCTCTAAATATAAACAACTGTGACCTTGACCTTTGACCTCCCCACCCGAGACCAATAATGTTTATCCTTTCAGTGAGGATGACAGGAGGCGGAGGAGGAGTGAGGAGGAGGGGGAGGGGAGGAGGAGGAGGGGAGGAGGGGGAGGAGGGGGAGAGGAGAGGGAGAAGGAGGAGGGGGAGGGGGAGGAGGAGGAGGGGAGGAGGAGGAGGAGGCTGGTGGAGGGGGAGGAGGGGAGGGGAGGAGGGGAGGGGAGGAGGAGGGAGGGGAGGGGAGGAGGGGAGGAGGAGGAGGAGGAGGAGGAGGGGAGAGAGAGGGGAGGAGACGAGGAGAGGGGGAGGAGGAGGAAGGGGTAGGGGAGGAGGGGAGGAGGAGGAGGAGGAGGAGGAGGAGGGGAGGGGAGGAGGAGGAGAAGAAAAGAAGAACTACGAGAATAAAGGAGGACAAAATGTTGTAGCAGGAGGAAAGAGAATGAAGAGAGGAGACGAGAACACACACACACACAGAGGAGAGGGGGGCGTCAGGCCTTAATATCCTTTCTTGAGGAATTTCATGGTTAAGGAGCCAGAGTGAAGGCCAGAGATAATGAGGTTTAATTGGAGGATAACTCGTTAGGTTAGGTTAGGATAACGCTTCTAATATTAAGACCAGGTGTTGAGTTACGTTACTGATGATGTAATAAATGTGTACCTTTTCAGGCTTATTAAAGGCTAACTCATTATAAATTGACAATCATTTACACTCATCGATACAAATTAGTTGTTAGTTTTAGTGTGTGTGTGTGTGTGTGTGTGTGTGTGTGTGTGTGTGTGTGTGTGTGTGTGTGTGTGGTGTGTGTGTGTGGTGTGTGGTGTGTGTGTGTGTGTGTGTGGTGGTGTGTGGTGTGTGTGTGTGTGTGTGTGTGTGTGTGGTGTGTGTGTGTGTGTGTGGTGTGTGTGTGTGTGGTGTGTGTGTGTGTGTGTGTGGTGTGTGTGTGTGGTGGATGTGTGTGTGTGTGTGTGTGTGTGTGTGTGTGTGTAAGTAACTTAGGTTACTCCTGAAACACAAATCACTCGTCACAATTAGTTTTGAGTCATATTTTAAAGAATCCTGTAAACAATTATTAGAACACACAGATAAGAGATACATTACTTATATTCAATCTATACAAAAATCATTGGTGACAAGGACAAGAATCATTGTTTACAAAGAAAAAAACAAAATATTGACAAACACAAGATTTTCACCAAAACTACATTACTCGCCTCACACGGACACAGGCATGTTATCTCACAGCGCCATACTGCTGACGCACGACCCAACCTTGATAAATTCGCACGACTTTCACCCACGACCTGGTCACTAAGGACGCCGGGCTCACCCAACTAATGTCCGGCAACACTTGTTTATGATTAAATTCTTCATGCACGCCAGGTGGGAACAGTCTTATAGTGACTGTATCTAATGGACTGTGTGGCCCTGTATGATGCTGTGTGGCCCTGTATGATAGTGTGTGGCTGTGTATGATGCTGTGTAGCCTTCTATGACCCGTGTAACACTATGTGGCACTGTACGGCATTGTGTGGCTCTGTGTAACACTGTGGGTGTACTGTCGGGCACCAAGTAAGACATTGTGGGTACGCTGTGCTGGCCATAAGAGATAGTGAATCCTTACCAGCTGAGTCTGAGCACCAGCTGAGGCGAGGAACGACGGCGATACCTTATTGTAACCTCGAGACACACTCACCAACCTCGAGACACACTCACCAACCTCGACACACACTCACCATAACCTTCGCCTTGTCCTTGGAGCCGACATGGTTGAAGAGACAGCCACACGCCGGGTAGTGGGGCAGGCCGCGTATGTCGCACATATTTGGTGAGACACAGCCCACGCAGCCCACCCCGCCAGCCTGCTGAGAGCGCACGACGACGCCCGCCCCGCCCAGCAGCTCCACTATGCTGGGTCGCGGGCCATGGCACTGTGACAATAAACCTTTTACCCTTCACAATAACATGCTGGCACTCTCACTGTTCTGTCCATCATGGCGTCATTTTGTCATTTTCTTTTGTAATCTCTAAAAAAAAAAATATTACAGATTGATAATTTCTGTGGATATATCCCTCTCACCTGGATATTTCAGGTAAATACTTAATTAATCCCAGATACACCTTGGGCTTATAAGGCAGTCGATCAATACCTGTTTTAATTAAACATTGAATCACCTTTGACATGTTGTTTATTAAGTATTCTTATCTCGGTAAGGTTCACACACACACACACACACACACACACACAGAACTCTCCTTCACCATGAAACAAAACACAGGAAAACAATAACAAAATCCTCATGAGGGAACGTACAGTGATGCTATAAATTTCTTGTACATATTTAACCTTCAATGACGGTCGAGAGAGAGAGAGAGAGTCCCCTTCACTAGTGCGCTTACAGGGCCTCGTCATATAATCATTCCACAAATCATTACACTGAGAGATTTGTTTTAATATTGTTTTACTTTGATTCGATACTATGTTTACTACTGCGAGTTTCCTTCTGTCGAATGTGAACAAACACAGCGCTGCCACACTGTACAAAACCCGACGAGCCCCTGTAAACGTACTAGTGAAGAGGACTGGACTGTATATAAACTCCCTCCTCCGTGTGGCTGAATAACAGATTAGGTGACATAACTTACACCAAATGGCACTGGCATAGGAACCACCGGGTATATGAACCATTAGACTGGCACTTATAGGCGTTGACTGGCACAATAGGACAGGTCATTGACTGTCTAACTTGTCCCTGCGATTACATATTGATTCAACCTATGACTGATGTTGCTGTTGATGTGTCCCGCCCCGTCCCTGCCCCGCCCCTCCCTTCCCTGCCCCGTCTCGCCCCGTCCCTCCCCGTCCTGACCCGTCCCCCTCCCCGACCTGTCCCGCCCCGCCCCATCCTGCACTACTCCCCCTCGTCCCGTTCCTGCCCGTCACGCATCATCCTAACTCACCTAATCCAGCCCCACCTCCCCCTGTTGATTCAGTACCCACCAATCTTCCTGCTCCATCCCTCCCCCGTTCCAGCCCCTCCCGCTCCAGAAGCCCCTCTACCCCTGCTCCAGCCCCTACCCCGTTCCAGCCCCCTCCCCTGCCCAGCCCTCCCCCGCTTCAAAGTCCCTCCTGCTCCAGCCCCCTCCCCTGCTCCAGCCCCTCCCCTGCCCAGCCCCTCCCCTGTTCCAGCCCCTCCCCGCACATTAAAACCAAGTCCCATAATAAGAAAATAAAACAAGGGAAGGTACTGTGTGTGTGTGTGTGTGTGTGTGTGTGTGTGTGTGTGTGTGTGTGTGTAACCAGGACCTACTCACACAGCCATGACCCACCTGAAATTAATCTATGGGTGCCAGAACCCTTATAGACCCAGCCACCATAATCCCTGTCCCCGATGTGTGTGTGTGTGTGTGTGTGTGTGTGTGTGTGTGTGTGTGTGTGTGTGTGTGTACCTCCCCGACTCTCCTGGATGTCTTGTGAGTCAGATAACGAATAGAAGTTTGTCGTCTTTTTCATTTCATTAACAAGTAAAAAATTTAATTTCCTTCTCCACATTTTGCTCTACGTCCGTTCTTCCGTTTGACCGTCAGTCCGTTCGTCCAAAGTCACTGTTGTTGTCTTAGGGAGAACCTAACCTAACCATTTAAATGACCCTCAACAAATACTGACAAAGAAACATGATGAAAGGTAAGAAAAAAAAATAATGTTTTGTTTTGTTACATTTTAAGTGAAGAATTATATCTACATGTCAAAGAGCAGCTGTAGGTAAGTGACGTCATCAACCACCTGTTACATATGTGTTTAACCTACATATAAGGCGGCCAGAGAGAGAGAGAGAGAGAGAGAGAGATTGAGAGAGAGAGAGAGAGAGAGAAGAGCCTGTGCTGTGCTGTTTTGTCACTGTCCGTACAATAGGTCAGTGCTCACGTCACTTCCTGTCACTTTTATATACTGCGAAAGTCGTAGGCGGTGTGACATAAGTGCCAGTTCATGGTCAATGTTTACGTTCATTTGCACCGCCTGACAGACGTTGTTTAGTAGTAGTAGTAGTAGTAGTAGCAGTAGTAGTAGTAGTAGTAGTAGCACCTTCCCCCGGGTTTATCATTAAAGTTATCACGGCAGGAGGGTGGGTCAGTAGTACACACACACAACCTGTACAAGTCACCCCTCTCATTCTTGCCTCCTGACGCGGCCGAGTGTAAGGCAGAGTTGGCCCTCCCTCACCATAAAGTTCCCCTGCTGACCCACATACGCCAGTCCCCCTCACCTTCCTCCCTCTCTTCCTCCCACCCCTTCCCACACACGCAATATTTAAAGATCACAAGAACCACCCCCCTCTCCTGTCTGTCGGGGGAGGGGTGGGGGAGGGGTGGGGTGGGGGAGGGGAGGGTGGGGAGGGGGTGGGTGGGGGAGGGGGTGGGGTGGGTGGGGAGGGGTGGGGTGGGGGAGGGGTGGGGTGGAGTGGTGAGAGATACCTAACCCCCTCCCTCCTCGTATTCCTTCTCTGTAAGCACGAGGGGCGTCCGTACCTCCCAACTCGAGTCAGCTAGCTAGCCCTGTACGCCTCTCCTTGCCTGCCTGTCTCTATTGATTATGGCCTGTGTGTGTGTGTGTGTGTGTGTGTGTGTGTGTGTGTGTGTGCGTGTGTGTGTGTAAAGAGGAAGTAGCGTGGGTGGAGGTACTCACAGTAACCTTCACCATACCAGCTGACTTATCTCTCACACACACACACACACACACACACACACACACACACACACACACACACACACACCTTAACTTTGATTAAATTCCTCGACCGTATGCCAGCGACCATGAGAACTGGAGGTGCGGTAATGTCATCTTCGCCCGCACCTGCTGATGACGCCCGCACCTGCTGATGACGCCCCCTCCTCCCTCCCTCCCTCTCTCTGTACTGCTGAACTATTGATTTTTTTACGGTAATGATGACGGAGGTGGTGGTAGTGGTAGGGATGGTAGTAGTAGTAGTGATGGTGGTAGTAATAGTAGTGGTGGTGAAGAAGAAGAAGAAGAAGAAGAAGAAGGTCTCATTATCTCTACTCAACAGAGATGGTATCAACTATAAACACGAGATTAGAGATTTCTCGTTACCAGGGATCGTCTCGTCACCAATAGAGTCTTCATCTTTTACATACAAACGTCTATCGCCAAATGAAACACCACAAACCTTCCCTATTTTGGCAAATTTCCCTCAACTCTGAATAAAATCTAAGATGAAAATTACCTTCTTTCTATAATACATTTTATTTACATTAAAGAGGCAACAAACACTGTGAATTACCTGTACTTTACCTTAATGAGTTTACCTGAATGACTTAATTAGTGTTTTGTGTTTTATTCACCTGTAGGTTTAAAGCAACTACCTTTATAATACACCATAGGAGAGTTACTGTACAGCCAACACTCTACACTTGAGACTTTTACTTCTGTTAATAAGTTACAATTCAATTTCTCAATGACTAATGATATTTTTTGTCACAGCTGTTCATTAGGCAGGTGCGGCATTCATAGCGCTGCTGACGTGGCCAAGATCAGTTGAGGATTTGTCTAATGACCTATGACCTGACCCATGACCTGTTGTGACCCATGACCTGTTGTGACCCATGACCTGTATTGATCCATGACCTATTATCATCAGTGAAATGCTGTGATTTGTGACCTGCGACAAGTGTGACCTATGTCTTGCCGTGACCTCTGACCTACTGTGACCTATGAACTATGAACCCATGACAAAGAAGACGGAGTTAAAAAAAGTAATACACATGAACTTAAAAGTGATATTTTAAAAGGTCAGAAAACAAGAAACAAACACGACTTATGACCATAATTAAGAAAACTTAATATACACGAAGGGTCAAAGGTCATTAGCGATATAGAGAAGCGTTGCTGTGTGTGAGTTTCTACATGATCTTCACTACCATTCATGTTAGCTATAAATAGGCTTTAACCTCTTTCAAGTTCGATGGTAACCCTTGAGTACAGGTGAATCATCGTACTCAAGGGCATTGGCCAACGTATTTAAAGGGTTAAGTTATAGTACTCAAGGGGTTAAGTTATCCTATTTAATGGGCTAATTCATGGTACTCAGGTAGTTGGTATCGTACTCAAGAAGTTCAATTTCTACAATGAACAAATTTGAGTTAACAGACAGGTCAAAATAATAATAATAATAATAATAATAATAATAATAATAATAAAGACGATAACGCTAATCTTGTTTTCATTAATGATGATGATGATGATTATGATAATAATGATGATGGTTCTACACGAGCGTCACACACACACACACACACACACACACACACACACACATCTAGTTTGAGACTCAGGTGTAGCCGACACTGGCCGCCCCACACACGCGACTACACTGTTTGCTGTGATTTATTTGCATTAAGACTCTGCACTGTTGCTGTGTTTACTCTAGATGCTGGTGGTAACGGTGGGGGTGGTGGTGATAGTGGTGACGTTGGTGGTGACGGTGGTGGTGACGGTGGTGGTGGTGTTGGTGGTGTTGGTGGGGGGTGGTGCCTTACTACTCCTCCTGCTTTTCCTGCTACTCCTGCTACTACTGCCGCTACTCCTGCTTCTGCTGCAACTGGCACACCACACCAGAGCAGCCACAGGGGTCACATCACAGCCACAGCATGAGATCAATACGAGGTGGAGAAATGTGGAAGCTATTCTTAGGTAGCGTCAGGCAGCCACCAGGACCCTCTACCACCACTACCAGGACCCACTACCACTATTACCAGGACCCACTACCACCACTACCAGGACCCAATACCACTATTACCAGGACCCACTACCACTATTACCAGGACCCACTACCACCACTACACTTCCACTACCAATTTTACCATGATCCACTGCCACTATTACCAGGTCCCACTACCACCACTACTACCACTATTACCACCACTACCACTATTACCAGGACCCTATACCACCACCACTACTACCACTAGGGCCACCCATCACCACCACCACTACAACTACTACTACTAC